CTTCGTTTAAATCGCATGCTCGGGGGGAGCTGATTTGTCGCAATCGTAAAAGAAACTCCCGACGCTGTTTCATTGCGCTCGGGGTATATGTTTCGCTGAGAAAGAGAGCGAAGATACGTTGAAAATTACACTATATATATATATTACGGTCTGGTTTGTGCCTCGACGATAAGGACGACCTCGCGAGATTATATAATAATCCAATTCCTACTCCCATCTTTATTCTAACCTCTTGGGCGACGATCTCTGCTGTCTGTTTCTCAAGCTTTTCGCGATTAGCGAAGCTTTTACTCTGCAGAATCGCGGATTCGTAATTACCAGTGACGACACTTCCCGTTTACGTTTATTTCTTAAAGGACGAAGAAACAAGTAAACGTCCGATTTCTTCGTTCGGAACGAACAAAATTTTACTGTTTCGTACCGATAAATATTTCTCGACTATCGCACTGTTATCTCTTACTCTTTTTTTTTTTTTTTTTTTTTTTTTTTTTTTTTTTTTTTTTTTTTTTTTTTTTTTTTTTTTTTTTTTTTTTTTTTCTTTCTTTCGTCACTTTTACACTATTTTACGGTTATCACTTCGAACGCAGAAAGTAACAGGGATTACATCGGATAATATCGATTTATCGAAATTACTAATTACCCACACAGGTCACGTCACTTTTATCGCAAACGTCTGATTACGCGGTAGATTCAAATTTTGTGAAATTTTTTTTTTTTTCAAATTTACATAGAACTCCCCAAAACCAGTGGCGCTCTCGAGCGAGAATCCTATTATTTATTTATACATTATTTCATGCACGTATTGAAATTTGCGTTGAAAAAAAATTCAATACTCCAAACTCATTACTCGAGGAACGTTGAAAATTTTAAATCGGCGCGTCTACGCACAAAATATCCCAAGCCGAGAATCGTTTGAACGATAAAGAAACAGTATCGACTTACAAAAAACGTTAGGAATTACGCTAGTAGAGTTTAATTTATAAAAAATCTGAAATTCCGTTTTCGAATAATACACGCTAACCGTGGATGCAAAGAAAAATTCAAAATCTCGCCTGAAACGCATTTCGAGTAACTCGTATTCGATTAAGAGCCACTAATATTATTATTATCATTATTATTATTATTATTAAAATTATTATTATTATTATTATTACTCTCACGAATATATATCGAAGTCGAGTGCTCGGGGATCCACGGACCTCTCGGTGAACGAAGCTTTCGCGAAAATTCAGTTTGCACGTTATTTAGCTACGTACTTACGACGCTTCTCCGATTTCCTTGTAAAGTCATTCCGCGGACTCCTGGTGCGCGATGATCCACCAAGCCGAAAACGAAGAGCGCGGTGGCCCAAGATGCATCGCACATTCCGTATACGAACCGGCTGGACCTGAATATCGTTTTTGTTCCCCTTTGTTCCGGTATTCCTGTGCACGTTCGACGGGGATCCTCTTTGCACCCTGTGATCTCCTCTTCCGGGAGATAGGATAAAGAGACGAGAGAGAAAAGCCAAAAAATATATGTAAAAGAAGGGGTGTACAGGAGACTCGGCGATGTGGGTGAAAATGAATTTTGGGAGGGGGGGACTTTTTTTTTCTTTTTTTTTTTTCCCCGAAATCGCGTCGAGTCTACCAGGCACCTTGCCAACAGGTACTTTCGGTACTCGCGAGCAAATCCTCACCGAAGTCCGGCGTGCCCCATCATAAGATCTAAGTATGATATTAAATGCTTCCAATACTGTACTATTAAAATATTATTACGACATTTATATATGATTTTATTCGTTCGGACGAGTAGGTAAGCGATATACTCTACAGATGATGATAATACTCGAGAATGTATTTTATAACAGTTTATTCGTCTCCTTTATTTACACATACCACAAGTGATAAGTGATATTGTTATCGATAATACGAAGAGAGGAAGGGAAGGGAATAACGTAAGGAAGAAAAGAAAAACGTGAAAAAAAAAAATATGAGATTGAAAAAAAGTTAATAAATACCGACTATGTAATTGCCCGTACGGCGTTTACCCAAAATGCTGAACTTGTACTTCCTCACGTAGAAGGTTCGGTTATCCGCGACAGGCATCGTGTCCACACTACGAATAAGCAGATATGATGCTTATAATACTCATTTATTATAGTGTTAACACTTAAGAAATATATTTTTATATAATTATAATATAATATTATATACGATAGAAATAAATGATCGCTCGTGCGGTTGCCACAGGTCTCATCCTCGTCGGTACTTCTCAAATGTTCCATATTCCGAAGCCCTCCGTTGTCACGCGAGTACAGAACAAAGGTCCCACGCATCCCAGACGGTCTTTCGCACATTTTCGAAACTTCTTTACCTGCACTTATTCTTGGCTGTTTTAACACGGGACGCCGGCCGCGAAACGAAAGGAGACGAAAAGCTAATTTTGGATTTTCTTTTTTTTTTTCAATGTCGATTATAGTATTGGTTATTGATTTTTTGGGTCTTCTCGAAATTAATCGCGATGAGCTTGATTGTAGCTTTGAGAAAAAAATTACGATGCTTCTGTCGTATCTCGATGGTCGCATCGTTAATTTTTTTTCTTTTTTTATTACAAAATCAGACAAATTACGAAATCGGATACAGTTGACGTAAGCACGTGTCAAGGGCTAATTGCGGAATAATAGCAATGACTCTTGTGTCACTATTTTGCTCGATCATTATTCACGTAGGAAATTTAAAAAATTGGGAAGAATAATTTTTTTTGAAAATGTCACTTTTTATTATTATTAATGTCTCGATTACAATTTACAAACGTTGCGCGTCTCATGACTTGTTTCATTTGGCAGTTAGCAGTTAACACAGGCCACGGGATCCGTTTCTGTTAGGTTAGGTCGGACTTTATACAGATTGATCCTTTTCTTTCTATTTCTACCCAGTGCCAATTATTTATGCCTCTATTTCTATTTCCTCTATTCTCTCTGTGTCCATAATATTTCCAATGAGAATAAAAATTGTTACGATTGTTGAAGCAACGATTTGAGCACCATACGATGCCTTCCGTGAACGACCGAGCTTGCCTAGTTGCCAAAGAATTCGATGAAAACGAGTTTAACGCCAAAGATAGCTAACCCGAGACGAGCAATTGATATAAGAGTAGAAATTCCGCTTGATGAAATATTGCTCGACCCGGATTGGTTATTTTTAATTAATTGTACGCAGTAATACTGGTGGTTATGCCATTGAGCTTTCCATGACTATAATCATAAGTACCAAAAATGAAATGTGTATATATACGTATATATATGTATACTCATGAATATGTATATAGATACGCATGAATATTCTGTGTGTTTATATGCAAGAGTCTTATAACGAATGCCTCCTGTATTTAACGATACAGATATACTTTTGTGTATATTAATATATATGCATGGTATATATGTATATTCTATTCGATACCACAGACAATAATATACCGTTTCTTTTAGAAGCTTAGATCGTAATTACATTTACACAGTATACCCGTAGACTTAAATTAAAGTATAAATTTACTAAACTGGTATATATTATATACATAAATACATTTAATTGCCAGAAATAATGATATGGATATTATAATGATGAATTGTAATGCAATACGTACTCAAGGCCGAGGATAATAACGAAAGGTTGGCTACGTAGTGTTAGCAGTGACCTGTGCGTGTGCGTTTACATTGTCTTTTGCTTCCTTTTACGATCCATCATCATGTTTGTCCATCATTGATCACCCATGATCCAATCCGAGAGTATCTGTGTATGATTGTGCGTGACGACGAGTCTGCTAATATCCAACGAGCGTCCGACGGTGCCGTTGGATTTCGGTAACTTATCGACATCGTAAAACAGATATTGACGAAGATTTTATCGACTGATGGTAACGAAGACAAATGTAATCGAATCGAAGCATTTGATACTTATCCGCATGCTTATTCTTCGACGAGCACTTCGTTTCGCTATTTTAAATTTGGATTCACTTTGAATTAGCCTGATGATTGTTCAATCGAGTTATATTTGGTGTATAATCAGGGATTTTACGGGGACTCGTCATTTGTCGTAATATTTGCTAAGTGCTGGTCGCGAATGAAAATTTCGCGAAATGGTGCTGTTCACACTATGTCGCTGTCGTTTCGCAAAATATTGCGACCTCCACGTCGTATTTGTTACCATGAATTTAAAGATGAAAAATGAGGAAAAGGGAAAAACGAAAGAAAGACGAGGGAGAAGAAATATTGTAATGTGACGAAGTTCCATCCATAATAAATAAATGAAATATTATACAGTTAGGCCGACTTTTCCGCCAGCTCGTGCCTTTTTTCCGCGGGGTGAGTGCACTTTTCGTATCCATTCGAATGAAGATTTTGATGACGTTAAAAAAAAATGAAGTCGAACGCGTCAGTTTTATGGTTGGTCTTATCGATCGAGTTTTAAGGACGAAGAAACGCCACGAAATCGAAAATTCGAAGGAGCCGTTATGATGCATCAACGATACTTCATACTTTTTATATTGATTTCGCCACTAAAATATTCCTTCATTTAATTACAATAAAGACTTGCTACTATTTTTCTTTGTTCCTTCGATTGATTGACTCGCAATATGATAAAAGAACTTGGTTTTCTTTAAAGAATAACATCTATTTTCCTTGAGGCTATACGAACAACGAAAGAAACATAATATTTATTTCGTTCGTTCAAATTCCACGTGCGAGCATAATCGTTTATCTTGCGATCTTCGATTATTGCAAGTCTTCAGTGGAATGAATACAGCATAGACATCGGTTATGGTAAAATTTGTATTTAATATGCATTCAAAAAAGTGTACATCCTATACATTCGAAAAATCATATATAACGTACATCGAAAGAGTAGAGTACGGCATGCGGTGAGATTAGAAATGATTAATGAAGTTCATCATTTTTGCAGGTCTATTCATTTGATTGATTTTGACGTAACTTATCGGAACTTTTTATTTTTACCTTAACAAAATTATTAATATTCACAGCATTACAAGTTTATAAATATATTTCAAGAAAAAATAATGCCTAGAACCTGACGTAAATACTTTCGATTTTATTATTTTGAGCATTTTTACAGATATATAACGTGTCGATCTTGTTTGTGAGAGACATGTTTTTTTTATTTTTTACCATATAATACATTAATTACAATCTACTAATGTTCAAGTTATATACTTGGGATACCAGTCTATCTTATTCGATTTAGAACTGTAGAGTAGTTACTATTGTACATTATTAAACCAAGTGTCGTTAGACCTTGATTCTGTAAATTTATTAATGTTGGAAGAGAATTTGGTATAAGCAGATGTCATACGGTAAAATAAAAGGAAATAAATTCTGGTAATTTTATTGTTTTATTGTCGGTGATTTAAGGATAATGATTAACAATTATTATTGTAGGATATTTTACATCTACTGTATATATACTAGGTTTGCAGTAACACTTTGATTTTTGTAGATATACTTGATAAACAAAGTAATTTGACTTAATCCAATAGTATATTATTAAAAAAACATCATTTTACAGTATATACAGTATATGTGACAGTCAACGTTCTTTCCTTTCTATTTTAAGTCTGATTACCGATTGAGATTTGACAAGAATCATAATCAATAAATTTACTTAATTAACTACAGAGAGAGATCATTGTATTTTTCATAATTCATTGCAGCGGGATAACTAATTCTGTTCCAGGATATTTAGGAAGATTGAGATTGTACTGTAATTCCAGTTTTCTTGGCACAAATCGTCCTCCCAAGTAATGGTACTTTCCTCTAAAGCTCTTAGCACATTGTTTTGGTGCTGTTAGCGATATTAACATTTCAGGCTTGATTCCACCTTCTGCCGGAGGACCAGTTTCGACATTCCATCCTGATGGAATATCTATACTACAGACAGGAACACTTGCAGTTTCCAATGTACGAATAATTGGTACAAAGGTCTCTCTGACTGGTGGTTTAAAACTAAATCCAAACAGAGCATCGACTATTAGAAGGTATTCGCTGGACTCTTTCAATTGAGAGATATTTTCCAAAAGTGGAATATCATTTTCAATACACTGATGTGTCAAATTTTCATAAAGAGTGCTATTTGTTCTCTTTGGGTAGTAGACCTCAGGAGAATACCCAAAGAGTTTTAAATGTCTAGCACAAACGAGACCATCTCCACCATTATTTCCTGGTCCACAACAAATGAGTACTGGACTTGAAGAATTTTCTGATAATGGATAGCATTTGGCAATTGCAATTGCACAGCTTTGTCCAGCTAATTCCATTAACTGATCAACACTGAACTTGAATTTGTCAAAAAGATCTTTATCAATTTGTATTGCTTCAGATTGTTGCAAAAATTTCACCATTTTACTGTCTTGCGTTTGTTCAAATAATGTTCTTGTGGTGCTCCAGATCAAATGCTTTTCAAAAACTTTTCGCAAGAGTGATTGCGATAAACTTACAGCCAACCTCAACATTTAATGTCGAGTTGTGATTTCCTACAGGATAAATGTGTAAATAATTTAACATCAGTATGCAAAACAAATATGAATATTTTTCCGCTTAAAGCTTGGTCTATTTATAGTAAAAATTGAGTATCAACAATTGAAAAGAACAAAAACATAAATATTGAGTGATAATAATGTTAAATTACTATTTTTTTTTGCTTTGAATAAATTATTTTTAGACATTTCCAATAGTGTCCATACCAGTCCATATTTCTATGTTTCTATCCCAAGTTAACTGCGGATCAATGCGGATGAAATTATTGCTTTACAGTTGCATGTGAATCCGCCTTTACGTCTTATGTGTCAACCACAGTCGACCACTGTCGACTGATGCCGATCGCCATTTGTATAAAAGGCAAAACATATATTTAATTTAATTTTTCATAATTGTGACAAAAAACCATTCTTATTCGATATATTGTATAATGTTAAATTTTCTAAGTTCTATTAGCAATTTTCTTATAAAATTTACTGTTGTAAAATTTTTATAATTTTTTTTGTGCATTGCGTTATGAAGTAGCCAATCAAACTTTTGTGGATGCTTACATTACAACGCGACATGTTTCTATCTACATCTTGCTCTCATCAAAAAGTTCTGTCAGATAACCTATTTTCTCAATTCCTACCTAATAATGTTTATAAATATACGAACTTGACATCTTTCATGTAATATTCGATTGGTTCGTCGTTGTCGTCAAATTATGTAGAGATGCGTTTACGACAAGTCATATTCTTATAATGCGCTCCTAAACCATAGTTTAATTGTAATATATTGTAATTTATTGCGTGAAGTGAAATTCCTTTTGAAAAATGACAACTGGCCAAAGTGGACACGATCATTCACTCGCAATCCGACAAGAAATACAACGATTCGAAAGTGTACATCCGTCGATTTATGCTATTTATGATCTTATAGATCTTATCTCAGATTCACATATTTCAAAGCAAATTCGAGAACATGTTGTGGCTATTGAAGGTAAAGTATTTACTGATAATCATTCTACATAAGTTCTCCATGATTAAATCATGAGTTCTATTTAATTATGGGTCTTACAACAATTCATTACCATAACAGGTACACTGTATTGATGTCTAAGATATTTTTTCTGTTTTTAATTGGTATATAAAATTAGATGCTTTTAATATTTCTATTTTGTATTATGTATGCCTTATGTGCTTTACATGACTCTGTGTAAAATAATTACACCTGAACTCAGAGAATGCAAAGCTTATATGATTTCTTCTTGAACCACCTGTTATTAAGATATGCTTAAACCATCCCTACAGTTTGTTATTATGACCATATGTTAAGCTTTAATAACTTATTTGTGTTAATTTATTTGCAGATTCATTTGTTAATAGTCATGAATGGACATTGGCCAGAGATGTACCTGAACTACATTTGGGTATTATTGGCTCATCTGATTCAGGAAAGTCAGCATTGGTACATAGGTATCTTACAGGATCTTTCATGCATGAAGAATCACCCGAGGGTGGCAGGTTTAAAAAAGAAATTTTTATCAATGACCAGAGCTATTTGCTCTTAATCAGAGACGAGGGTGGTGTGCCAGAATCTCAGGTATTAAGCTGTCATAGTAAAATTTCTATGAATATTATTTTATGTTAATAGATGCTGGAGTCTTGAAATTTGTATTTTTTTTTCAGTTTTCTTCGTGGATAGATGCGGTATTACTTGTATTTAGCTTGGAAAGTGAGGAAAGTTTTTCAATGGTATGCAGTTATTACAACAGAATGTCTTCATTCCGGAACATGTCTGAAGTACCAAAAATACTAGTAGGAGTACAAGGTGTGTTTTTTGGAAAATTATTACACATTATATGTAATTTTACAGTTTTTACTTTTGATTTATAATATATGCAATAATTCTACAGATTCAATTAACGACAACAATCCTCGGGTGATAAAAGATATTAGGCCACGGAAATTATCTAGTGACTTAAGATGTCCTTATTACGAGACATGTGCCATTTATGGATTAAATGTCGAGAGAGTTTTTCAAGATGGTAAGTGTAATGCAAAAGAATATCAATGATTGCTAGTGAAATAATAATTATACAAATTTATTCTTTTGCAGTATGTCAGAAGATTATTCAAAAAATATCCATGAATAATCCTAGATACAATGGGCAACGTTTGCAGGAAGATGAAACAAAATACTCAGTGCCTGTGATTACAAAGAATGTACAGCTGCCTACCAAAGATGTGGAGACCAGTAGTCCATCTTTGAAAATTACTGTAAGTTTAATCATGTCACTATATTATTATTTTATTCAATGGTGCCACAAGTTTTATTTTGTATCAAACCTACAGAAATAGTCATAGTCAAATTTTTATATTTTTATTTCCTATCAACTCCCATAGAAAAGTTCCGAATTCCAGATGCCAGACAAAGAAGATGATGTTAGTCGTTCAGCACATGATAATCTTGTTCAACCTGATACACCAGTGGCTAATGATAGTTTTCAATATATACAAAATCAACATGGAGAATTGCGTTCGTCAATCTTGACGCCTACGACTATAAGGTAAATATTTCTTGGCGTATGTTATCAAATATGTTTAACCAATATCATAGAGGTTTAGTATGTTCTTTAGGAATATCTTTTACAAAATATAACTAAGCATGCTTAAATGTACATTGTAGAAAGTTTCGAAGGAAATCAAATATATTTACGCCATCGAAGAAAGAAAAGTATAATATGGGCGAAATGGGCGTTGGCAGAGAAATTCCTGTTAAACAAGGATACTTATTCAAAAGAAGTAGCAAGTCTTTAAAGGAGTGGAAAAAGAAGTATGTCACGTTGTTGGAAGATGGCAGATTGACGTATCATTCGAGCATGCATGTATGTATTCGCTAATCACCATGATTTCTTCGTTCCAAATATTGTAATGTTATCAAAACATTTTGTACATGAATGTTTAGGATTACATGAACGAAGCTAATGGGAAAGAAATATTACTTCAATACGTGACCGTTAAAGTGCCTGGAAAGACTCCTAAAGGATCCAAATCAACTGTTGCTCAAGGTTCGAATTAATAAGGACAGATGATTACTTTGTGCTTTAATATCTATCAAATGCATAAGCCATTGAATTGTTCCTCTTCAATTTTTAGAGGATAGCTTTGAGTTTTCCATAATTTCATTAGAAAACAAAACGTGGCATTTTGAAGCAAATAGTGCGGAGGACAGGGATAGCTGGATTACCGCCATCGAGCAGCAAATTTTGTCTAGTCTACAAAATAGTGATGGCGGTGACAAAAAAAACGAGACTGATGCTTTCAAAATGCATTGTATAAAAAATAAAATTTCGGGAAATGATGCGTGCGTTGATTGCGGCACTCCTAGTAAGTATAATAAAGTCTAATTAATAATTAATAAGATAATAAAATTGTTATAACTGCAGGTATATGTCTACAGGTATATTTGAGTAATCTGAATATATGTATTTATTAGTTCCATTACCGCTTTATTGCAGATCCAGATTGGGCAAGTCTCAATATAGGTGTTTTAATGTGTATTGAATGTTCTGGAATTCATCGGAATTTAGGTTCGCACATATCGAAAGTCAGATCATTGGATTTGGATGATTGGTCGTAAGTTGACTAAAATACATGCTTCGTATAATCCGTAAGAAATATATCTGTAATTAATCACACTCTCTGTCGGTTTGAAAATTATTAGAAAGTCATAAAAGTACATATTACTTTTACTTCGTTAGTATAAATAGTTGATTGAAAAATAACGCAAATTGAACATTTAAAATTATTTATCTCTAGTGCTGGACAGTTGAGCGTAATGCTGGCCCTCGGTAATGACATAGCGAACAGTTTCTGGGAATACTGTCTAAACGGAAAGCAAAAGCCAACGTCTGATTCGCCCAGAGAAGAAAAAGAACAATGGATAAGATGGAAATACGAGGAGAAAGTATTTCTGCCCCCAATCAGTCCGAACATTCCTGTAGGAAAGTTGCTTATCGATTCAATTTGCCGGTACGTCACCTCAGTACATCTGTCAATTCTCACGAAACCACCGATTACCTCGAACGACATTGAGAATGTGCTTCTTACGAAAATTAAAAAAAAACAGGGGCGATATGAGAGCGTTCACGTTGTACCTGGCGAAATGTAGTTACGAGGACATCAACATGTCCGTGAGCGAGCAGGATTTGAGAACGCCCCTTCATCTTGCTTGCGCGACAGGAAACTTGGCAATGGCACAGCTTCTCATATGGGTACATTCAATATATCTTACATCACTGTACATTTATACGACACCGTAAATCCTTATTACATCCATGAAACACTGTGAAAGATTCGCGAAGAGGAAATGTCGTTCTCGTTTCAGTACAAAGCGAATCCACAGAATTTGGACCACGAGGGACGAACATGCATGTCATACGTGAAGGCGCTTGAGAAGAAACTTAATAATTCATCGGACTCGCTAGAAATGCAGAAACTCTTGGAAGTATTGGAACAGGCGACCATGTCTGGCGTGGAGGAAACGGAAACAGTCCAGTATTAAAACTTAAGAGTGTCGTTTTCACGGATGAAAATTTGGACTTTTAATATTCTATTTTATATTATTTTTTATTTTCTCCCTTGTCTTTTTTTTCTTCTTGAATACACATATTGTTATTATTATGTACTTATCTTGCACGAGAAGACGTTAAATGAATTAATCAGTGCGTATGTAATGTTGACACGTGAGGATTTGACTGCGAGAGAGAAATGAATTGCGTTATTCGGCCACAGTGATCAGTCAATAATCTGAAGACACGAGGATTCGAGATAAATCTCGCAGTGCACTTCTGGTATCGATCGTTTAATTGTAGATATAACGTTTTGTTAATTCCGGTAGCCATTATCTTTCTGCCTTTGTAAGGTGAATACTAATTCCCGCTGTTAATCTTATTCATGCCTCTATTATTCCGTCACCTTGATATACGAGACACTTACGATATAGCATACTTTACGTATACATATATGTTATGGATAGTTTCATTTCTTATAGTATTACAAATTTGTACTGTGGTTCCCATTAAATCCAAAGTCATTTTGCGTTGTTGGAAAACCGAAATCTTAATGGCAAATTCGAGTGTGCATTGTCAATGACTGAGAAGTACAAAACACTCATACATCTATTTATATTTATACATTTAATCTATTTAAAAAATATGCTTTTACAATTTTCACGTTAATGAAATATATAGCATTGTCTTATATCAAACTGCTTTTGATCTCCTTCGTTTTTTCGTGTTCTTAATTATTATAATGACAAAACTTATAACACTTTTAGTATTCATAATATTTCACTTGATCGGGGGGGACCTCGAACCAGTCCCACGTTTGTGATTGTTCACACGAGTGTCCTAAGCAATTTCCAAACGTGGGTAATAAAGGAAATATAAGTTTCCTGACTTTCTTGCCATGGTGACTGAACAGGTAATGGTTTTTCAAGGTACTTCGGTCAGCACGCAGGAGTCTCGGGTTCGAGACTCGGTCAATTCGTCGCGCAGGACTCGGTGAGCAGGGGAAGCGCTTAATGCAGTGCCCGGACTCGCAGCGCTCATTCTTCCTCGAGCCGGTCTCCTATACTGGTCTCTTGGAACCACCCCCCATAACAATTTCCAACCTTCTTCTATTGTTATATTTATTTCTTCTTTACTTCCTTATTTCGTTATCTTTCATTTTTTACTTTCTTATTAATCTCTTTCCTCATTTCTTCTCCACTTTTATAACTCTATTCCTTCCTGGTATCGATGCGCCACCTGGACCGAAAGTTACTGTTATTGGATCTTGATATACTTTCGAAATTTATTCAAAATATAAAATTGAGGCTAAATCAAAATCTCACAAAATATAGGGAAAAGATAAAAATTGAATTAAAATTGTAAAATGTCGAAAAGGGCGCCGTCGGGTGCTACGCCCGTGGTCTTTCGTTGCGGCGAATCTTTGACTAGGGGTAGATCTTTCGCGTTTAACTTACCCCTTTTGCGTTTTCTTTGTCGCTCGGCTCGACTTTTTTTTTCTTCCTGAGGTTTTCCTCCCTAGTCCTGCTGGCGACAGCCACAGGACTTGGGGGCTTTCCTCAATAAAAAAAAACACGGTCCCCTATGGGGCCTCGGAGGGGTCGTTGCTCCCTTGTGGAGAGGCTGGACCTCACGGAAATGGGCGAGGAGGGGCCCATTTCGAACCCTTATACTTCTTACTTTTTCTACTTTTTCCACTAAATCGTAAATAAATTAGATGTTTGGAACATTAAAATAATTAATTAAATCAATAAAGTCTTAGCCACTAAAGTCACTTAGAAATCGGAAATTCTGGCTAAGCATATTTAGAAATACTGGCAGTGCCCAAAATTGTGTGCGCGGAAATTCGTCGCGCAGGAATCGGTGAGTGGGAGCAGGATGGTGGGGGGAGGGCTCGAGGCAGTGCCCGGACTCGGCGCGTTCATTCATCCACGAGCCGGTCTCCTATACTGGTCTCTTGGAATTACCTCTCGTACTCATTTCGAACATTCTTCTTTTCCTATATTTATTTCTTTATCCTTCATTC